GGTACAAGATCATAGTGAATGAAAGATCACATTCATTGGTACAAGATCATAGTGAATGAAAGATCACATTCATTGGTACAAGATCATAGTGAATGAAAGATCACATTCATTGGTACAAGATCATAGTGAATGAAAGATCACATTCATTGGTACAAGATCATAGTGAATGAAAGATCACATTCATTGGTACAAGATCATAGTGAATGAAAGATCACATTCATTGGTACAAGATCATAGTGAATGAAAGATCACATTCATTATTACAAGACCATTCTTGGCTATCACATTCCAAAGATCACATTCTTGCTACAGTCTCCCGACTGGCGGTCAGTACGGAATGATAAGATTATCTGACGTATGTGTGTTATTCTGGCAAATTTAGGTTCATCAGTTCTAACTTGAGCTTTACTAAACCTTCACTTTGCTTTATATTAAATACTGTGCACTCGAGACATCGTAATAAAATGTACCTTGGAAAGCTCAGTTCGAAAATTACTAACAGCTTAATTCGTAAAAATTCCTTGAGCGAATTATTTTTCTAACGAAACTATCGTTAATAATAATACCACTAATCACGATCTTGAAAATTATTCAATGACAGTTCATCACCCGACTTGCCTAACTCAATTGAAGAATCATGCAGTGGCCGACGTCTCGCCAGCCTCCAAAAAAAAGCCAATTCATTGGCTCATAGAAAAATTTCAAGGTATGGAGGGCGATTATACAGGAGCTCGGCCCGCAAACACTGAACACTAAGATTGAATAGCGCTAAATGCTTTTTTTCGATGGGCTACTAAACAAGATGTTTCATCGAGCGGGCGCGTGTGGCATTCCAATTATTCTGATGACAGACGACCTGTTGGCACTGCACTGGCGGCAGTTCGTAAATTAAGTTAAATTACTCATCAATTGAAGCGTTATTTACTAATTATATATTCACAAAATCCATGACTAAATGTCTATGAGTAGGTATTATATAAATTGTTCGACAATTCGTATTCGAATATTCGTACGTCTCCAACACCATCATTGTCATTCTTCGTCACATTAAGTTCGATACTTAACGATGATTACCTTCAGCCTAAATAAGTTCCATGAAGCAAAGATATTTCAATGGACATCAGGTCCGCACCATACTATCTGGTTAACATGTAAGTTTAACTGCATTTGCGCTTAACTGGCATCGAATATTTCCCTATACATAGCTAGGAGTGCATGATCATGACTACGTTACTTAAATACCTTAAACAATAAAATCATATATAAATTTTATAACAAGACAATTTTTACCTATAACTGAATCCAGGTCTGGGAATCACATAACATTGGTTACGGTAGTAGTTCCTACCAACGTTCATAGAAAATGACTTGTATCTACGTTCGTAGAAAATTAATTGCGGGGATAACTAAGGAAAAATATATACGTGGTCGCTACATTATGTTGCACATCGCAGTGTGGCGAGTCAGGCAGGAATGATGCAGCTAAGTTCAGGTAATGAGAAAGTATTTAAAATATATCAGGCAAAAATTTCAAACCCGTACAGTGAACTATTTAGCATTACATATAATTTATCATAAAATATTATTGTAAATATCATATTCTTGGATTCTTGCTTATAGGATCATATTGAATGAAAGATCATATTCTTGGAGATAAGAAGATCATATTTTAAGAAAGATCATATTCATTGGTACAAGATCATGGTGAATGGAAGATCACATTCATTGATACATGATCATAGTGAATGAAAGATCACATTCATTTCTACAAGATCATAGTGAATGAAAGATCATATTCAATGGTACAATATCGTATATAGTGAATGAAATATCACATTCAATGGTAAAATATCATGTGAATGAAAGATCACATTCATTGGTACAAGATCATACTGAATGAAATATTGCACTCATTGGTACAAGACCATAGTGAATTAAGATCACATTCATTAGTACAAGACCATTCTTGGCTATCACATTCACATTAGTATAAGACCATTCTTGGTTATCACATTTCAAAGATCACATTCTTGCTACAGTCCCCCGACTGGCGGTCAGTACGGAATGATAAGATTATCTGACGTATGTGTGTTATTCCGGCAAATTTAGGTTCATCAGTTCTAACTTGAGCTTTACTAAACCTTCACTTTGCTTGATATTAAATACTGTGTACTAGAGACGTCGAAATACCGTAATAAAATGTACCTTAGGAACCTCATGTTAGAAAATTATTGTAAGGAATTTTCACAATCGAAGAATTTGAAATTTTTATTCAACGAACGAATAAACAGGAAATTTTGGCAGCACAGCCCAAAGCTCATCCGAAAAAAAGTATAGGATGTTCCATAAGGTTTAAGTTTAAAAGTTTCGTTAAAAACACTTAAAACTGCCACTCTAGTACCAGCATAGCAGTTCAGTTGGAGGTATAATCTATATCGCTTGCGAGCCTGGTCAATTTGATGGCTCTATGGTCGGCTTCTCAGGTGACGTGGTTGTGACGCAATGAATAGGCAATTAATAGAATACGTCAAGGAGCGTCGACTGCAGTTGTCCCGGTGCAACATGAAGATACTATAAAGGAGGAAATATAAATTTAATTAGGCTCCAACCCCACGATGAACTGGCAATGTATATGCAGCTATTACACTGATATTTAAATTGAGGCTAGAGTAAACAACCAACCTGGGGTTTTTAATGCCCAGTGTGAAAACTTTCTGTTTGCAATGAATGAAGTTTTAAATTTAGAAATATAGTGGAAATTAGTAAGAGGAGTAGGAAGTTGGACGGAGAAAGACAGTAAGAATAGCTATAGGTTTATCTGCGGAGAAAGACAGTAAGAATAGCTATAGGTTTATCTGCGCGTGAAAGAAGAGTAAAAACTTAAATTAGGATGGAACAATCCACTGCAGTATTAGGCGAACTCCGAGCGTGAACTGCCCAAACCCTATATTTGATTTAGAAGTAAATTTGATATAGATTTGATAAGAGAGAGATTTGATAGATATTGATAGAAATTTAATATGAGAGAGATTTGATAGAAATTTGATATGAGAGAGATTTGATAAAAGAGATTTGATAAAAGAGATTTGATATAGGTTTAAAATAGATTTAATATAGATTTGATATAGCTTAGATTTAGCTTTGATATAGATTTGTAGTACCTTCCTTCAGAAGGTACAATTTAAGGTAACCTAAATCTATGTCCAACTTCCTACAGAAGTAAAATAAGCACAGTTGTTGTAAACAAAATATAACGAAAATTACACGGCATTCGCACAAAATACCGAACAGGGAACCAGGTGTAAAAGAAGACTGGTAGGAATACTTAATTATTCGAGGACATTGAGCTTGAGATGGAGCGCGCAATTTGAACTTTTATTGAGCCGACCAGTGACCAGCTCTGGCAACTGTATAAAATGAACAGCCTAGTGTCAACCTGCAAGCGCCCAACTTCGGCTTGCCTGCATATTTAAACAAAAGAAAAGCGCACTGCGCGCTTAGATTAATCGTTGGAGATCTTAGAAAAAAATGTGAAAAGAACTGAAAATTTATTATCGGTGAGAAATCAAGAATTTCTCACATTACTACCAGCTTAACTCGCAAAATTTGAGAAAGAGAAAATTCCTAAAACGAGTTACTTTTTTATTAGAACTATCGTTAACAATAGCACTAAACCTATCACGCTCCTGAAAACTACTCGATGACATCGCTGCACCTGACTCAAGTGAAGCAATTGAAGTATCAGTGGCCGACGTCTCGCCAGCCTTCAAAAATACAAACGTTGGAATACGAGTGGAATGAGACCATGTGAATAGATTCCACACGAGCTCGGCCCTCAAACACTGAACACATGAGATTAAATACCTCTAAATGCTTCTTTTCGAAGGGTTACTTAATTAACAAGTTATTTCTTCGCGCGGGCGCGTGTGACTCTAGAATTTTTCAGATGGCAGACGATCTGTTGGCACTGTGCTGTCAGCAGTTCGTAAATTAAGTTAAATTACTCATCAATTAAAGTATTAGTTACTAATTAAATTCTTACACAATCCATGATTAAATGCATATAAATAGGTATTAAATAAATTGTTCTACAATTCTTATTCGAATTTTCGTAAGTCTCCAACACCATCATTTTCATTCTTCAGCACTTTGTATTCTGTACTTAACGATGATTACCTTCAGCATAAATATGTTCGATGAAGCAAAGGTATTTCAATGGACATTGATCAGGTCCAGAGGATACTATATGGTTGGCATTTATGTTTTTCTGCATTTGCGCTTAACTGGCATCAATTTTTTTCCCATAAATAGCTAGGCGTGCAAGATCATGACTACGTTACCCAATTATCTTAAACAATTAAATCATACTATTAATTTGATTACAAGACAATTTTTACCTATAACTGAATCCAGGTCTGGGATCCATATCGCATTAATCACGGTAGTAGTTCGTACCAAAGTTTGTAGAAAATGACTTGTTCTAATGTACGTAGAAAATTATTTGCGGGGATAACTAAGGAAAAATATATACGTGGTCGCTACATTATGTTGCACATCGCAGTGTGGCGAGTCAGGCAGGAATGATGCAGCTAAGTTNCTTCCTTGTGGCACGCCGCTGCGCACTGAAGCCCAGTCTGCCGCGGTCCCATGAATACTGACACGTTGTCGCCTCCCTACAAGAAATTCTCTGATCCATTTGAGTACATTAATCTCAATTCCCAAAGACTATAACTTACGCAACAGCCGCTTATGTGGGACACTGTCGAATGCCTTGGCCAAATCGAAGTACACTGCATCTACTGGCTCCTTATCGTCCAGCAGGCGGGTCCATTCATTCAGAGAGTGCATGGGAACTTTCATTACATATCATTCGAAATAGACAGACAGAACACGTAGGAATCTTTATCGCAATGCGTACCACGCTTACTATGCAACCCAATCACCATGACGGTAATATCTGGGTTCAAAAATATTTAACTGTAGGTTTTGTAGAGAGTTACGTAAGTAAGTAACATTCAGTTGCGACCGACCCAGTACTACTGAACATTACGTGTAAAGTCGGCGTATCAGAAAATAATTGTATCCCTAACTAAACTATTCTTTCGTAATGACCTTCAAACATAACTACATATCAATTGTCTCACACGTTTTCGCATGTTCGCTTAAAAATTGCTACTCATATACTACATTTCATTTGAAATTTCAGGAAAATATTGATTAGGATGATGCTTTCTCTATTATTATATAGATTTCCTGGGATTTATAACAAATATAAATCCTTTAGAGTTGGAAAACATCCCACGAAAGCTTTCTCGCAAAAGCTTATGTGATAAAATTAATAAAACTTCCTGGTGTGATATGTGCTCGACAACACAATTAAATGTTATTTGGATTTAAATATATAGAAAATTACAACTCATTGTTATATAATAAACCTAATAATAAATTATCCCTGTTTATAAATTTAATTTGAGTCATACACTGTGAAACAGACAGTGATAGTGATATTGATTTATTCTGTATTATAAATTATATACAATCTATTATCAATTATATTATTATAAAAATAATGATATCAGAAGCTGAAGGCTAAGCTTATTGATTTCAACAGAAGCTGAATGCTAAGCTGATAAATGAACAGTTATTAAAGTTGATGAAATGAATTAAAATTGCCAATTTCTTCGGACAATAGGAATAATAAAAAATGTAGATACTAACTTAATTCCAGGTACTAAACATGTAACTATAAATAAAATTAATAAACGCTACGTGTTAAATTCAGTTTACCAGCATCGCCACATGGATATAGGCACGTGATACGTTAAACTATTTCGCTTAAAGTGTCCGATCGCATCGGCATCATTTTCTTGGACAACCGAGCTTGATGACATTTATGGAGGTCTTGATGGCTTTCAAAAATAGATGGTTTCTTTTTGATAAAAAATATTGATCTTAGAAACCATATGCGACGGGATACATATTATGTGATATTTTTTCTATATTTTTAGGAGTACCGTTTTGACCACGTGTTATTTTGATGTTCTTTTGTTAGATTAGTGACTCAATACGATTGAATATATTTTTAAGACTATAATATGGAATCTCGTTATTGTGATATTATTTTGTATGACTAAGGAATGCGTAGGCATATTTTTATTTCGTGACTGAAACGAGGAATCTCCTATGCTGTGATATCATCTGTCTGTAGCGTTGCGTTGCAATCGTCTGCTAGGCGCCACGCGTCGTCTGCTAGCCCTGACACGTTTAGACTTATTTCTTTGATATGTTAATTGTAAATTATTACTTGACCTATGATTTACTTACTTTAATGTGCAACTATTTTGTCAAAGGACTTTAATCTTTTGTAATAATCTTAATGATTTACTGTTGTACGAGATTGAGTGCTGTCAATCTACGATACCATCGTTAAGGTAAAGACGGCTACATCGCTATCTTGCATAAGGAGGTTAGACATCTTATAGGTAGATATTCGATAAGATGTCGATTATAGCTTGTAGTTATGTTGTCAAAGGGTGTAACTCTTTATTAATATGATTTCATTAGGTGATGACACTTCTCATTGTGTGTGATAATGCTTATAGTCAATGTTCATTTGTCTAGACTATTGACGAACTGGTATCAACTCACGCGCNATCTCAATTCCCAAAGACTATAACTTACGCAACAGCCGCTTATGTGGGACACTGTCAAATGCCTTGGCAAAATCGAAGTACACTGCATCTACTGTCTCCCTATCGTCTAGCAGGCGGGTTCATTCATTCAGAGAGTGCATGGGATCTTTCATTACATAGCATTTGAAAGAGACAGGCAGAACCCGTAGGATACTTTTTCGCAAAGCGTACCACGCTAACTATTCTACCCAATCACCATAACGGTAATTTCAGGGTTGACAAATTTTTAATATTATTTAATAAGTTCTGAAACCATAACAAATGTTACATTCAGTTGCGACCGACCCAGTACTACTGAACATTACGTGTAAAGTCGGCGTATCAGAAAATAATTGTATCCCTAACTAAACTATTCTTTCGTAATGACCTTCAAACATAACTACATATCAATTATCTCACACGTTTTCACATGTTCGCTTAAAAATTGCTACTCATATACTAAATTTCATTTGTAATTTCATGAAAATATTGATTAGGATGATGCTCTCTCTATTATAATATACATTTCCTGGGATTTATAACAAATATAAATCCTTTAGAGTTGGAAAACATCCCACGCAAGCTTTCTCGCAACAGCTTATGTGAAACAGACAGTGATAATGATATTGATTTATTCTTTATTATAAATTATATACAATCTATTATCAATTACATTATTATAAAAAATAATAATATCAGAAGCTGAAGGCTAAGGTTATTGATTTCAACAGAAGCTGAATGCTAAGCTGATAAATGAACAGTTATTAAAGGTGATGAAATGAATTAAAATTGCCAATTTCTTCGGACAATAGGAATAATAAAAAATGTAGATACTAACTTAATTCCAGGTACTAAAGATGTAACTATAAATAAAATGAATAAACGCTGCGTGTTAAATTCAGTTTACCAGCATCGCCACATGGATATAGGCACGTGATACGTTAAACTATTTTGCTTAAAGTGTCCGACCGCATCGGCATCATTTTCTTGGACAACCGAGCTTGATGATATATATGGAGGTCTTGATGGCTTTCAAAAAATAGATGGTTTCTTTTTGATGAAAAATATTGATCTTGGGAAGCATATGTGACGGGATACATATTATGTGATATTTTTTCTATATTTTTAGGAGTACCGTTTTGACCACGTGTTATGTTGATGTTCTTTTGTTAGATTAGTGACTCAATACGATTGAATATATTTTTAGGACTATAATATGGAATCTCGTTACTGTGATATTATTTTGTATGACTAAGGAATGCGTAGGCATATTTTTATTTCGTGATTTCACTCAACCGAACCACTCATAACTCCTTCAATAATGAAGGGATCTTATTGAAATTTAGAACATAAGTATGAATTATTAATGCATTTTGTCCGGAAAAAGAAATAAGAACAGATTTTTCATTGGTTCGTTTTCAATTAAAATGGGAAAACGCGATTTTGAGGCAACGGCATATAGGCGTTTCGTCGATACCTAACCACCTTACCACCTTGACGATTTCAAACAGTATTTTCACAATCGGTTGCGGGTTTAGAACCTTCAACTGAGTGTTCCAATCTGGTGATCATAACCACCCAGCCGCTTCGTCGATTTCTAACCAAAACTATCGCAGGGAGCTAGTATCGAACCCGCAACTACAGTTCAAATTCTGGTACTCTCAACTTGAACACCACTCACGAAATTTTTAGTCAATATTGATGAGAAATTCAGTGTTACTTTAAACTTGATTTGCACCGACGACTCTAGATACTGACTGTCACATCTTTATTGGCATTCACGAAATTTTTAGTCAATATTGCTGAGAAATTCGGTGTTACTTTAAACTTGATTTGCACCGACGACTCTAGATACTGACTGTCACATCTTTATTGGCATAGAAGCTGTGCAGCAATAGTACAAATCAAGTCTAATGTAGAACTCGTCTTTAAACGCCTTCCTCTAGCTGCACTGTCGTACGTTAGACCTACACGAACGCGCATTGCGCAGCTCAGGGTCCCTACAATAAAAAATTGTTATAAGTTCGTAATTCCGTCTCCCAATCGTTGACAGCTTTACGGGCAAAACCTACCAATCACAGACGAAAAATCGGCCGCTACGTGTACTTTGGCTGCTACGTGTACTAAGGCAGCTACATGTACTTAGGCCGATACGTGTACTTAGGCCGCTACACGAGTACCTAGGCCGCTACGAGTACCTAGGCACGTAGGCCTATGATTTGTGTTTATATACAAGATAATAGTGAATGAAAGATCACATTCATTGGAACAAGATTGTAGTGAATGAAAGATTACATTCATTGGTACAAGAACGCAGTGAATGAAAGATCATATTCATTGGTACAAGATCGCAGTGAATGAAAGATTACATTCATTGGTACATGAACGCTAGTGAATGAAAGATCACATTCATTGGAACAAGATTGTAGTGAATGAAAGATTACATCCATTGGTACAAGAACGCAGCTAGTGAATGAAAAATCGGGAAAATGGGAACTTACAAAAATCGGGAACTTACAGAGGAGGTAATACAGAACTGCAGACTGGCAGAGGAGCTATAATGCAGGACTGCAGACTGGCAGAGAAGGTGATGCAGGACTGCAGACTGGCAGAGTAAGTCTGTAATCCGTCATGACATTTTTTTCATTCTGTAATCCGTCTTGCCTTTCGTTTCAATTCTATAATCCGTCTTGACTTTTGTTTCAAGTCTATAATCCGTCATGACATTTTTTTCATTCTTTAATCCGTCATGCCTTTCGTTTCAATTTTATAATCCGTCTTGACTTTTGTTTCAAGTCTGTAATCCGTCTTGACTTTCTTTTTAAGCTTGGAATTCGTCAATAGTTTAAACGGTCTGTAATTCATCATTCTAAAGACGTCGGCAGTACCTATTAACGTCTGTAATCCGTCATGAATTATTTATTAAAGGATGTTATCTTATCTCATCTCTATGGAAGTCGAAGAATTACATCCTGGCGTCCATGAACAGAGCGTGCAGCATTAAAATATTGTAAACTATAAGTCTATGTACATTGAGGCATCAAGAAATGGCCAAACTGTTATTAATTTACCCTAAAAATATTAACTAAGACGTCCACTCTGGATGCATGACAATAAATTTTAATATTAGCGATCATAATATAAGATATGTCTAGAGGAGATCGGGATTTCATATGTATGGATAAAAACCTTAAACATCATTTTGAAAAAAATATATATATATTTTTGCCTTAGAAGTAAAATATAGGAGATGACTCTAAGTTAAAAAGGCTTATAATTGATTCTATCAGATGTGAACAATGAACATGTACAGAGATCTATACCAGCAGTTCAAACACAAAACGCAAACGAACAGCTCATAAATCCTTAAATTTATAAAGGATCTTCCTGAAATATTGAACGCAACTATTTAGAAGCAAAATGCAGCGATAGATATTGCTAGCTTTTATGCCACTTAGTTTTAGATTAAAATGGAAAAACACAGCTTTTTAGCAAGAGGAATTAGGACAGGTTTGGTTAAGGTAGGCTACGATTGGCTAAATTAAGCTACTTTTTCAATAATAGCGCACGGAGAAGTGTCGGTCCAGTACAGAGATTGCACTAAATTGGCTTCCACGTGTCAAATCCTGCTTGCATTCTAGGTTTTTCGGACTAAGCGTTTTGCAAGGTGGACTGATAATTGTCACTTCTGACGTTGACACTTTCATATTTAAAACTTCTTCAGATATATTGCAGCTAAATTCCAATGCAATGTGTCAAGATGGAAAGATTGCTAAACAATACGCATTTGTATCTTCAAGTGTTTCATAGATGAAATCATTTACTTAGTTATCAAACTTTGACAGGAACGCACAATATGAAGTAAATGTAAACACGAATGGATAAAATTGGCATGAAAACATATGAAAACTCGTTATTATAAAAATATGATATAATCAGTATCTGTTTGAGGTGTGTTATTTTCGGCTATTCGAGATTTCAGCGCCCGCCATATTGGTTGCTCCACGAGACGATCTTCCGGCCCACGTTGTTAGCGTATTCTAATAATATACGGACAAATAAGCTCTGTGCGCTTTATGAGTGACTCTTCAGTTACTGTTCAAAAGTTAAATATGACAGATAACACATCAACTCCAGATTCGTGGGAAACAGTGGCCGATGGTGGTCTTAATGCGAGTCTGTCCAGACTAAATGTGAATGCGGCAGTTTTCGTTCCCAATGTGAATGCTGCGGAATTTATTCCAAGCTTTCGAAAGGAGCCACAAGCGCCAGGTAAAGCCTTTTTGAAACGTTTTTAATTTCAATTTTTCGGTAATATTCAGACGGTAATAACGTGGGCCGACCCGAATATTAAGCATGCGACAACAGCTGTTTGCTTGACTTGAGTGCGCCATGTGTACCGCATTTCACACCCTGACCTCTCATCTCATCTTGCCGCTTCCCGAGTTCATCGAGTTACATGTGCCATCAAATTCAGTCCATGTTAGCGAATAGCGAGGGATCAGCTAATTCTTTCAGTTTGTTTATGAGGCTTGCTCATACCTGATAGCTCTAAATCTGAAATATTCGTCACTACGTTGCAGTTCAAACTTCAAAATTTGTGCTAACCTATTAAAATTTTCATGAATCATTGAATGATTTGACTAAATAAATTCAAGGAATGAAAAATTGTATAATGTAATCAAATTATCAAGTAAAATTGTCAATCAATAATATAACTGAAAATTTGAAATTGTATTTTACTTTGATAATTTGTTGTTTTCTCTTAGAAATTTAAGGATCAATCCTGATTAGCCTAGGGCCCTAGGCTGGTGTCCTGGTCCAGTAGAAGTTGCTGCCACATGTAAATGAGCCTGTGCTTGCAGCAAAATTTACTTCTTTGCCTACCTATTTTTTTAAGAAATAGCATATTTACACTTGTTTTTCTGAAAAATGGCCTGTTAGACTGGTAGTGAAAACAATTGTATGTCCCTGGGCCTGGACCCTGGAGTCCTGGATGGTGGACCAGACGCAGTATGGAATTCTGTATAGGTAATATATTATCATGTTAACAAAAGAAAATGTATCGAAAAATTTACCACCTTACACCTTCCACCGAAGTGACAATTGATACTCAATTACTCATACTCTTACACTGAGCTCGTCAGAAACTGCGGACACCCGGACAGCTGCACTTCCTCTAACTCGCTTGCGTGTGGTTCGAAAACCGATAAAAAGTTGGCGACTCTTCACTCCAATGCATCACTAGTCATGTATCCGTATCGACAAATTTTGTAATGAATATGTTCCAAAATAAAAAATAAAAATTACGTAAACTTTTGCAGAAAATTCTCACGATTTCACCAATACCAACAAAGTTCTCGAATCCACTCGGAATGATGGGATAAACTGCTAATCTTTCATGGCGTATGGCAACATTGTGTTGACTGTTGACATTAGACAAGACGGTGTCTGACACCTTGTTTTGGTCTTGTAAAGTTCAATTTCATAATAGATTTGATCCACATTTCACAGTGACATTTAAATGATGGAAAATTGTTTCAAAATTTAAACACCAATTGATATGGTTTTGAATACAAATTTATTCATGTTTTCGCCCTATGTTGCATCATCGAAAAGTCTGCTTGACAGCATAGTCACGGTAGCTGTAATTACTTTATTAAGTTTACTTCTTTGCAGTCATATTAAGAGACAAATCTTTAACAAACTAATACTTTGTATAATTTTAATTGTTGAGTGAAAGCTGCGCCTGCAGCCTTGCTGGCACGCAACATTTCCAAGTGAATTACCTTATAGAAACTTAGCATACCCATACGTGTTTTAAGCCTATAAGAAGTTCATTTTTTTGCCTCAAATAATGTTGTATAAAAAAACTGGTGTAGGTGTATCGGGAATAATATATGAACCGTCAATATTAGAATTCCATCCTGGCGGGATGATCATTGCGGACGGTAACTGAGTTTGACTAATCATTTGGATATTTAGTGCAAGAGAATGATTAATTATGTTGTTTCTGATCAAACGAACGAAAATTCAAACAAATTATTTTGTTACTTTGACTAGGTTTATTCATGGGAAATATGCTATTGCTCATTTATGAAACGCTTTTGAAATAAATTGAATGATGTTTATTTATTTCCATACGATTTTTAAACAATTGAAAATTGATTTATTATCCTTTAAATAAACATCTTTGCATCGAAACTCTTGGACGATGTATCTACGGCAATATTTGTACACCATTAATCAGCATATCAAGAGCCAAACATCAACCGATTGTTGGAAATAACCAACCGATTGGTGGCCACTAATATGTTGCATTGTTCTACCCATTACACCTAATAGAACCTAAATAAACTTTGTTCATTGAAAGGACAAAAAGCTTATATCACACTTACATGATAGTACAATAAATTTTGAAATCTTCCCCAGTCATGAGACTTAAATTCATACTCATAGGTGATCTTGAATTTGTGCATTGCATTATGCAATTTGTAGAATTATAAATTCTTAATAGGTACAAACTTTTTGAAAATAATTCTGAAAGCATAACGTCTATTGAATTCTAATATGGATCTTTAATTTTAGCATCGTATTTCCAAAAATCAAGTATTGCATTTCTTTTAATTTAAAAACATTCTTTTACATCAAAAACAAAGAATTTTTTCTTACAGCTCCTATGATGATTGGCGAATGACAATCTCACTCATATAGATAAAAATTTTAAATTGAACGATTTTGTAATTTCAAAGACTCCATTGATTACAGAACTTTAGTTTTCACCAGTGTATTCAAGAAAAGTTTCTGAAATAGTAGGGACATTTCCATTATCATTCTGAAATAGAAGCGTCATTTCCTTTCTTATATATAAGCAGGATTAATAAAATACCTATCAAATCCATCCATTATCACTCAATTTGTGATATATGAACGACAGTTTTACTTTCATTCCTATGATGCTCATTTTTACTGGTTGAAGCTGTAGAATTAAATTAAATTTAAAAAAGTAATTAAAATTTAATTTTATTGAATTAAATTTTATTATTAATACACTAGATGGTTTCATGCTGTAGAATTAAATTCTATTAGAAAAATGTTGAATTAAAAATCTAATTATATTTTTTAAATTAAAAATTAATTTTTATAAAATTGAATTGTGTTATTAAGGGGAGTGTCTGGGTGCTGAAAAAACTTTTTTGTTTACAGACAGATCGTTTTGAAACTTGGTACTCATATGTAAAACAGAATTCTAAGACTCTTTTGTTCGTGTGAATTTTCGTGTGGAAAAACATGAAATTCTTAGAAAACGGAAAAAAGGGGGTACCGTAGAAAACTATCTCCTCCTAGGATTTCGAAGCTACAACATTGAGACGCATATCAGTTGATGCGTAAGGACCATATCTATCGATTCATCATAGCTTTTTTTCAAATTTCGAATTTTTGTGGATGGGGGAGTATTTTTTGCAAAAATTTTGAAAATTTTTCCATTTCCCCATTTTTCTACCCCCTTTTTTCAAAATATTTTCAAAACTATAACGAAATTGGAAAAAAGCTATGACGAATCTCTAGATAATTCAATTGCGAATCGATTGGTATATGTCTCATTGCTGTAGCTTCAAAACTGTAGGAGGAGATAGGTTTGCAGTGACAATAAGTTAATTGTTCAGTAGAGCCTGACAAAGTCCCGGGCGCCTCGGAATAAGCGTTCAAGGTGTCAAGACTGCAAGACTAGGCAATACTGCAGCTCAATTCCTGTCAAGGATGGTGTGAACGACGACACGCAAACCCTCCCGTACAACTGCAGGCGGGTAACTGAAGCACATCGTATGTGGACTAGCTATTTAAGTATGCAACCGGGAATTTTCGCCTATCTTAAATGTGAAAGAACTCCACCACCCCCCACCCTTTTGCGATCTGTCGTGAACGCATAAATCAACTTACCGGAATGATTTTGGTACCGTTGAATAGAGCAGAATGTCAGCTATAAGACGAGATTAAAAACCAGACAAGCCAAATTTCAAAAATTTTGACCAGATGCTCCCCTTAATGCACTATATGGTATATGCTTTACATTTTATATAATGAAATAGTTTCCCTTTTTAAACAACAAACATTTTCCAAAAGACACAAAACATTCGAAAACTCGCAATGGCGGACAAATTCATTCAGAATTTGAAGTGAATTTATTAAGATAAATTCAATATAATAAGGCAAAAAATGGAAAAATTAAAATCTTGAACATACAAATGGGTTTAATAATTAAAAAATAACTTTCAATCATTTAAATCTCATTGTGAAATGTGGATCAAGTCTATTTATTGTGAAATCAAACTTGACACAACCACAACAAAAGCGTGTGACACCATCTTGTTATACGTAAACGTAGAAGCATGATGTGAGCATACGCAGTGAAAGAGTGAGTTTATCTTATAATTTTGTGCGATATCAAAAGCTTAGTTGGTATTGTCCAATCGTGAGAATTTTTTGCAAATGTGGATGTGTTTTTTTTTTATTTTAGAACATATTAATTGCAAAAATTTGTCCACTACCCTACAGATAAACAACTAGTTAACTTGATTGAGGCGTTGCCAACACACGATTGGAAGTCAAATCACGCGCGATTTTGGAAGCGCGGCAGTTTCTAATGAGCTAGCTCAGTGTATAAATTTTCACTGCAGTGGAAGGTGATGTAACGTGGTAGGGTCAGGGTTGGTGATTTTTTTTATTTTTTTAAAAAAATCAAAAAAATAAAAAATCAATGATTTTTTTATTTTTTATGATTTTTCTGATTTATTTGTTTTTTTTTTGGGATTTTTTCAACTTTTTGTCTTTTTGAAGTGTTATTTTTTATTTTGCAATTAGCCTACTAACAATAACAGTATATGGATCATAATGGATGGCTATTACCAAAAACATTCAATTTATTGGAACCTAATACACACTAAAGGCAACAAGTTTATATACCAATTTATCATTCATAGTACATTTATACTAAACCATGAATAACAATACCTCAATATAAATTAAAGACTGCCACTCAATATATTTAAATATATGAAAAAATAAAAAAAAATTGAAAAATCCAAAGAATCATGATTTTTTTCTATAAAAAAATCAATTGATTTAATCACATGATTTAATCATTGCCAACCCTGGGTAGGGTAGTTTTTTCGATACATTTTCTCATGTTTACATGAGAGTATATTACCTATACAGAATTGGGGTATTTGGTTTTGGTATAATTGGGTATTTTTTTGGCTAATTGGGTATTTGGTTTTAGGTAGAGTCTGTAGAGAGTATTAAATGTTTGAAGTTTTCATTTGTCCTACAAATTAGTACAAATATTACTGAAAACTACAAATGTAGTTTTCATTTGTAGCTACAAATTTGTTACACACAGCTAATAGTTTATATGTGTAATTTTGTATCTTTTCTATGTATCAAACATCAAATGAACAATTAAGTGTCCATGCTGGGCTGCACATGTTTCCAGTTTCCACCTTCCTTAAGTTGCCAGTTTCCACTGATCAATTCCAATGAAACTGATTTACTTTATGAATAGAATTTAATTGGAGCTCTCTTGCAAAAACTAAACAACCTTGAACATACTATTGTTCATATGCTCACCCACTCATTATAACAGAAAAATTTGAATATATGATCAGTATTAAGCATTATTAAAGAGGGAGTGTTGGCATTAATTCACTTAGCTTGGGACAGGGCTGGGAAAGTCCTATTTTTTTCTGAAATATTGCAGCTCTAATATCATATAATTTCAGTAGGTATGAAATCTTGCAGCTAAAATGTCATAAATTTTTGTTTGATTGAAAAAATTGTGGTTTGGAATTCACAAACCTATCATTTCATAAGGTTTTTAACATCCGCATTGCTCTGCCAACATATCCTGAAGAAGATAATCATCGTAATGTAAACAAGTCAACCTAAACATTTGGTTGAAGATTGCGCCTAGTTGCGTTCACATCAAAGCAATCAGACTGCAATAAGGGGACTGGCTACCTCTAAATTTTCAATTTTGGCGTTTTCCGGTTTTTGTGCTCATCTTAAAGCTTACTTTCTGACGCATCGAATGGTACCAGAATCATCTCTCTATGTCGAAAAATGATTTCGTGACAGCTCCCAAAGGGGGGCGGTTTTGAGGGCCCTTCAGTAAAGTCTATGGGATTAATTCGAAGGCTGGACACACTAAAAAGGAATGTCTGACATAAAGCGGCCAATTATGGCATTATCCAGTGCTTATACTCATCTTAAAGCTTACTTTCTGACGCGTTGAACGGTACCAGAACCATCTTTCCACGTGCATTTTGACGTACAAGATGCGCCGTGGAACCGGGGGTGGTATTGGGCGGCCTTCACTATTTCCTATGGGCGTAATTGGAGGGCGGGACTATAAATACAGCCTGCTGCCGCCAAAGCAGTCAGTGCACATCATGACAGTGAGGTGAGAGGTATGCAGCCAGTCGCTCTATGCCTTGCTGACTTGGTTTGAGGCTTAGTTACGGTATCCAGGCTATGTTACGACTTTTACGTCATTTTACGTGCCGCGTGCCAGTTTTTTGGGCGTGGTGAAAACCTCCTATTGCTCTCACGGCAAACCTATCTCCTTAATGGCTTGCCAAATAGATATATTCCATTCCTGGGCTTTGGTAGAGTATCTGCCAAGTGGCAGCTCAGTAATTGTTGATGATTAATGAAATATTCTGAAAAAAATTCCATGACCTTTGAGACAGTTATAAATATGTATTTATATAGTCTGGCAGTGTAATAAAATTTCAGGATGGATATGCAAACTCTCCAACTCATCTTTATATCTGTAAATATCACTACAACCTTCATTAGTATGACTTATATGTTTTAAATGATCCCTGTGAGGCATGTTTTGTTAGGTCCTGTCTTATAATCAGCTGAAATACTCTTACACACTCTTCGTTTGTCTTGAATGCCATTATCATGCCCATGCCAAGCAACAATCTTGAGCATATTGTACCATTAAAATACCATATCATACCATACCCTCTAACTCTATTGCCTTACCACAGGCATGGAATATATCTACCTTCAGAGCTGCAACTTGTGATTCCTTTTCATTTATGGGGCCATTAGGTCCCCTCTAGATGAAGTACATACCTCCTACCTACTTATTAAGAAAGTGAACAAATAGGCTGCAAGATTTCAAATGTATCAAAAACATGTCCCTCTGGAGCTGTGAGAGTTCAGTAATGAGTAGAAAATGTTCACTGTTGCGGGATGCCCTACCACTTGTGAGAGATGAAATTAAAGTATTTTAATAAATTGTGACCCTAGGTACCATAATGCTTTTTAACTTATAGTTATAATTCTTAATTTGTTCTATTTCAGATTGTTTTGTTGTGGTAAATGGGTAGAAACTTTAGCCTCGTTTTGTTCTTGTTTTGTTTTGTTTGTTGAGTCTGCCCTCCTTCGCATCAATTTTATTTCACAAGGTAGTAAAATATATACTTTTTGTGAATAGCTAAATTGTTATCTTGAAATATTATTTGATAGGATTTTATTTCTTCCTGATTTATGTTGATTTTTAATATTATATTATAATTTTATTTTAGTTTTTCATATTAACAGGTTATAATTCCTTGTCAGTAAAAAAATGTCAAACCCATGAAAATGAAAGGTTTTAATTTTTTAATAATAATTTAATTGTTTTAATATTCTACTTTAGATTGAAGGTTCATAAATCAAGCATTAACGATTAATACTGATGGCATTATATATTATAATGCTACTATTACTATTTTGAATCTTTAAAAATATCTTGCATGGTTTTTCATGTAGGTATTAAATTCAAGATTTATTGATTCATGCTGTAATTTTGAATTACTATTTGTTAATTTTAATCTGCTATTTGATGTGTGCAGATCCTCCACCCGAGCAAGAGAGTGCATGCACCGTACCTGAGCCAGTGCCGCCCAGCTCATCCCCTCTTGTGTCATCCCCATCAGTGAGCTCACCAACACCCTCATCTCCTGCTCACCTCCCCTCCTCACACTCCTCTCCCTCTCACAATACGCTTCCCCCCAACCTGTCCTCCCCATCATCCACCTCCCCAGCTGTCATGGTCAACTCCATCAACGATGCCACGGCTCAGCCCGAGGCTCCTGTTGAAGCCCCTGCTGCAGCTACTGCTGCTGCCTCACCTCTGAAGACCAGAGCTGTCATCAATAATGATAATACTGCTGGTTAGTGGTGATTTGTATAAAGGCCAATTGTTTGGTGATATTGCAATGATTGAACTGTTGGCAGGAGATGCTTTAATGAACCATTGTTTGATGATGTTAAATCCCTCATATTTCTCATTTACCTCAATCTCAACTCTCCTATTTCACATTCACCTCAGACTCAACACTCATATTTCTCACTCTCCTCAGACTAGGCACTCTCTTATTTCCCATTCACCTGAGACTCAACATTCTTATTTCTCACTCTCCTCTGATTCAGCACTCTCTCATTTCTCACTCTCTTCAGACTCTTCACTCTCTTATTTCCCACTCAATACAGACTCGTGGGAGGAGGCAGCGGATGCGGCCACCCCATCACCATCACACTCAGCAGACACATCATCCACACCCCACACCCCAGAAGATGATGAGGATGATGATGTGGATGATGATAGTGAGGAGCTGGAGGACAAGAAGAAGAAGAAAAAGCCTGTCATCTTGGATGATGGCCCCAGCAAAGAGCCTGTCAATGTCATCTTCATAGGACATGTTGGTGCGTTACTTCCACTTGCATGTCCTCAGAAATATCATACTAGACAAATTAAATTAATATCTTGTTTATTAGTCACATACACTGTAATAACTCGCTTAATAATTAAATCCTTGGTAATACCTCACTAATTAGTTATATCCTCAGTAGTACTATGCTTATCATCAAATATTATTCTGCACTTGTGCTAGGTTAATTCCAAGTGGATTTTACTTGCTAAATTTGCACTATGCACTTATATCTTATATTCACTATGCACTTATGTGCAAATTAAATTTACCCTTATTATCTTCTAACTTATGAAGCTGATGTTGGTCTATGATTTAGCAATCTCTTTATTTACTTCACTTTTAATAAAAGCTGCTCACATTGATAAACTTCATTCACACTTGAGTGCTCTTCTATTAAATACAAATAATCCGTCTACCCCATAGGAATGCTGACAGGTGTTAAGCATGCTGAAATTTTCTTCCAATGCACTCATTTTCTTTCAAAGTATATGTACAATTAAGACAACGTGCAAGGCGTATGTAGTGATGATCATTGTATACTTATTGCAAAAATTAATCTGCACTTCTGGCAATCACTGTTGACGTTTTTCTTTCCATATGTAGGTATTCACTCGTTGATTCATTCCTCAGACATTGTCTGTTGTAAAATATGTCCACTAATGTTTACCTTGTCTCCCAGACGCAGGCAAGTCGACCATTGGTGGCCAGATCATGTATCTCACTGGCATGGTGGACAAGCGGACGCTGGACAAATACGAGCGAGAGGCCAAGGAGAAGAACAGAGAGACTTGGTACCTGTCATGGGCCTTGGACACCAACCTGGAGGGTGAGAGGGGGGGTATTGGAGGGGGACCTGGTACTTGTCATGGGCCCTGGACACCAGCCTGCAGGGTGAGAGTGAGGGTATTGGAGGGACCTGGTACTTGTCATGGGCCCTGGACACCAGCCTGCAGGGTGAGAGTGAGGGTATTGGAGGGACCTGGTACTTGTCATGGGCCCTGGACACCAGCCTGCAGGGTGAGAGTGAGGGTAATGGAGGGACCTGGTACTTGTCGTGGGCCCTGGACACCAACCTGGAGGGTGAGGGAGTACAGTGAGGGAAATGAAAGGGGGATTTTGGGAAAAGCTTGGTTGCGCTGGTACAACCTTATGACCTTATGATGAGTTTAGGACGTCGTAGTCCACGGTCACGCTGATGCGCCGCCTTCTTATGCGCTGCTCACCTTACTATGAAAATATCTGTACAATTAGTGAAATTCAATGTACAATTAGTATCACTGGACATACCTTAAAACATTAAGACCTTAAGGTCTTGATAAGTACCCATGATTTCAGTACGATCAATTATTTTTGACAGAGCGTGACAAAGGCAAGACGGTGGAGGTGGGGCGCGCGTACTTTGAGACGGAGCAGAAGCACTTCACCATCCTGGACGCCCCTGGACACAAGAGCTTCGTGCCTAACATGATTGGAGGGGCCAGCCAGGCCGACCTCGCCGTTCTGGTATGATATATACCACGCTGCCGTCATCTATCATAACATCATCATCTAGCATCCCATCATCAGGCTCCTGATACATACCACCTCATCATGATTTATCATACCATCACGAGCTATAACTTCATCATTATCTATATGATTTACACCTCCATCATGATTTATCATCCCATCATCATCATCTACCGGTACCATTCTATCATTATCTACCACTTCATCATCAACCTCTTTTTTTTTCTTCATAACAGATCTTGTAATGCCATTTGTATAAGAGTATGTATCATCGTGTTTTGAATCGTACAATGTTTGTATAATGTATAGCTTGTTTAACATCTTGCCTAAGTCCTGTAAATTAAGCTAAGCATGTTTTATTTTTTTTAGCACAACTAAGCACGTTGTTAACCTAATTGAATTTTTTATTATATACTAAGTAAACTAGTTTCCCCGCAGGTGATATCAGCCAGAAAAGGCGAGTTCGAGACAGGGTTCGAGCGCGGTGGACAGACGAGAGAGCACGCAATGCTGGCCAAGACGGCAGGCGTGAAGCATCTCATAGTCTTAATAAATAAGATGGATGATCCTACGGTGCAGTGGTCCCAGGAGAGATACAACGAGTGTAAAGACAAGCTCGTGCCTTATTTGAAGAGGGTTAGTATGTTGTGTGCTAGCCTTATATTAGACGAGCTCGTGCCTTATTTGAAGAGGGTTAGTATGTTGTGTGCTAGCCTTATATAAGACGAGCTCGTGCCTTATTGAAGAGGGTTAGTCTGTTGTGTGCTAGCCTTATATTAGACAAGCTCGTGCCTTATTTGAAGAGAGTTGGTATGTTGTGTGCTAGCCTTATATAAGACAAGCTCGTGCCTTATTTGAAGAGGGTTAGTATGTTGTGTGCTAGCCTTATATAAGACAAGCTCGTGCCTTATTGAAGAGGGTTAGTCTGTTGTGTGCTAGCCTTATATTAGACAAGCTCGTGCCTTATTTGAAGAGAGTTGGTATGTTGTGTGCTAGCCTTATATAAGACCTGTCTCTTATACACATCTAGATGTGTATAAGAGACAGCTGCTACCCTCACACTGCTACCCTCACACTGCTACCCTCACACTGCTACCCTCACACTGCTACCCTCACACTGCTACCCTCACACTGCTACCCTCACACCGCTACCCTCACACCGCTACCCTCACACCGCTTGTTAAAAAAAAATCCGATCAGAATTACTATTTGTATAGTTTTATTACAACACAATGACTTTGAACTTATTAAGTTATCCTTCATTTTTGTCTATAAATAAGAGTTTCTATTGGAAGACTGTTTCATAATTGTTTCGGTGACTTGAGTGGCATTGACGTTGCATATTCAGCTGCAACAGCTCGGTTATTATTGCAGAAATTTAGTAAGTATCGAGTAGAGAGATAATCAGTGACTAGTTGGGAGTGCATCCAGCAGCCTGTTTATGCTTTTCTGTAGGTCATCATAGTGAGATATGATGAATTATAATTAATGAGTTTAATTATTCTTTTAAAGTAGGAGAAATTTAAACCTGGGTTTAATGTGAGGTTTTGGTTTTTCTCTACAGAATAAGCTTGTATGTTGCATTGAGCCGTCTGCACTGTTGTGATGTGCTCGCTGACTAGAGTGATATGTTCCGACGTAAATTTTTTGTGGCCTTTAGGAGTTTAGTTTTATGTATAATATTAATTAGTCTAGTTAGTAGAAGGCTTGGCTACAACCTTGTTAGTGACATTATGTTCATGACTGTGACAGGTTGGCTTCAACTATTCACGTGACATTTATGTTCATGCCTGTGACAGGTTGGCTTCAACCCTTCACGTGACATTATGTTCATGCCTGTGGCAGGTTGGCTTCAACCCTTCACGTGACATTATGTTCATGCCTGTGGCAGGTTGGCTTCAACCCTTCACGTGACATTATGTTCATGCCGTGCTCGGGGTTGACGGGATGTAACCTGCGGTATCCCATGGACCCCGCTTTGTGTCCGTGGTATGACGGTCCTGCCTTCATCCCCTACATCAATGACTTGCCACCACTCAACAGAAATACTACAGGTTAGTGACATGTTTGTGGTGCAAGTTAGTGACATGTTTGTGGCGCGAGTTAGTAACATGGAGGTGCAGGTTAGTGACATGTTTGTGGCGCGAGTTAGTAACATGGAGGTGCAGGTTAGTAACATGGTGGTGCAGGTTAGTAACATGGAGGTGCAGGTTAGTAACATGGAGGTGCAGGTTAGTAACATGGAGGTGCAGGTTAGTAACATGGAGGTGCAGGTTAGTAACATGTTCGTGGCACGAGTTAGTGACACGTGGCGCACGTTAATGACATGTTTGTGGCGCGAGTTAGTAACATGTGGTGCAGGTTAGTAAACAGTGAGATTTTACATCTAATTACATGTACCACAAGTGGGACTTTACTCTGATATCAATTTGTAAATAATACGAATAAACACAGCTTGTTCATTTCCCAGAATACAATTTGTAATGATTTTTAGAAACGAAAAATCACAGATGTTACGTATTTTTTATTTTTGTGGAAGCTTTCAGTCACTTACTGTCGTAATATACGAGAATATTTTTACTGTTAAATCAATCAGAAAATCTTTCTATAGGTTTTTGTTGCACAATGATTTGTTCTATTTACTTCCCATAAATATATCTATAATAAGTTTCTGTTACACAAATATTTATATTATTTGTTAACCTCTAATACTTGTGAATGTTTTCTGTAGTTGGTGGTTTAACACAACATTAATTTTTTTATTCACCGAGATACGTTTGTTTTCTATGTCACGTTTGTGTGGGAGTATCTAACTGAACTGTGTTGCCGCAGGTCCCTTCATGATGCCCATATCTGACCGCTACAACGACAGGGGCACCATCGTGCTGGGCAAGGTCGAGTCCGGCAGCTGCAGGAAGAACGACTCTCTTATTCTAATGCCAAATAAAGTGAGTCAAGCGGGGCGCGTAGTGCCTAGTAAAGTGAGGCATCGAGGGTGCGTAGTGCCTAGTAAAGTGAGGCATCGAGGGTGCGTAGTGCCTAGTAAAGTGAGGCATCGAGGGTGCGTAGTGCCTAGTAAAGTGAGTCATACTAGTTAGTTACCTAGTCCTCCCAAAACCTATGAATGAGTCATCCATTGCTGATTATTTCAGTGCCCACTGAAGTACAATTTGTCTTGTGATCGTGAATGGCAGTTGTTAGTTCTGTTGAACGTGATGAATCATGAGAACCTAATCGTGTGCCTCTCCACCCCATTTCTCCATTCCATTTCCATTTCCGGGCCATCGATCCCCGTCAGGAACTTGCCCCTCCCCCCAGGGTCCCACACCAGGCACGCCCTCTGGTGCCTCGCCATATTGGCGACCGAAAGCACCCTGTTGCACCCCGGACACTGAGCGACCCTCCCCCTCCTGGCTCTCAC